TATATATATATATATGTATGTTTTATATTACCCACTTATTCCAGTCAGGTGAGCAAAACACTATTTTAAGCCATGACAAAACATGTTTCCCACAAACTAACCTTTGCAGAACAGATAAACCAGAAGAGAACTTCTTACCTGTCTTTCCTGAATTGTAAACATATATATATATAACTATAATAAAAAAAATATAATTACTGCTTCATTGCACCAGCTCTACTCAACAGTTTCTATTCCCAGCTGTCATTCTGTTGTGATATTTTTTGTTGCGTTTCTTGATCTGCCCAGCCCTAGTTAAGTTGAGTCATTTTTTTGCCACTGAGCTTTTAAAGATCATTTTCTATAAACAAGAACAAGGACACTGCCTCTCCTGTTAAAGTACAGAAGCAGCTGGAGGCAGAGCCAAAGAGGTTACATAGTGGAGAATACAGCTTACACATAAATTTAACAAAATACCAAACTTTTATGCCTTGAAAAATATTTTAAATGTAAAGAAAAACGGCAAGCATTAAATGAGTAGGACTTTATTGACACGTGGTACAGGGAACCCCCAATGGCATTGGTGTTCCTACTGTTTTTCCGAAACAGCATATCTTCCCGGACAGCTGGGTAATGTTGGATGTGGTTACGGTGGTGGAGTCCCCTCCCCAGCTGCCGGGAACAGTAAGAAATCATCCGAGTGCCAGCTCACCCCTCCTGGCAGCTTCAGTGGTAGAGTTCCACCTCACTACAGTGGAGCACATGTTAGACGATGTTAGGTTGTGACTCAGGACGGAGGGAGAAAGTCTTGTTCGTCTGAGCCGAATGATCGAGTCTGCCTCAAGATGAGGAAATATTCTTGGATTATACATTGATCTAAAAATTCTCCTAGTGCAGGTAAGAAGGAGGTTTCTGTTGAGTTTATTACTACGGCATAGCATTGTTGTGATTTTGTTTTTAGATTCTAAAAGTAAACTGATTTTTATAATGAATGTTCGTTCTGGTTGTAATTAGTGCTTTATGTGGTGGACCAAACCCGACTATTCCTAGAGAAATTGTAATCTAAACCTACGTTTATATTTTCATAATGTGTTAACATGTAGTGCAACCACAGGGACAAACTGTGTTTACAGCCTCCTCTCGTGCCGCTTATTTTTGTTGCTACTGCATCCAAGAACTTGTTGTTGACATGGGTTTTGAAATAGCTACAGTCCGAGCGATCCACCATCTGGCCCCAGACGGGGTCACTCAATCTGGAACATCCCACATATGAGCCAGTGTCATTAATATTTTCTATCACTTTGTAAATGCAACTTGTATTATTGAAGCCAACTTTGGTTTAGTTTTTAATTATATCAATATGGTTCTTTAAGTTAACAGTAATATGGAATTTCTGATAAACTGAGTTTTACCTTTTGGAAATGTAACCTAGATCAAAAATATATTTGGTAATTGATCTGTATTCCCAAGCCAATAACTAGTCAAATGCAGCAGAAAGTAAAATGTTCTCCAAAATGTTTGTAACCAGTTTGACATTTTAGCAGCCAGAAGTCAACCTGAGGAAGATTGCTTCTCCTCTCCAAGTTCATCTCCAGGCATTCAAGCTGGCACTGTTTAAAATGTTTCCATTTGTAGGGCTGGATCCTAGTTGTTTCATGTTGGTCCCTATGGGCCTGTGCTGACGCAACATGACAGAAGCTTTAGAACTACAAATTGGCTATTAATAGAGCTGAAGAGGTTGTGTTGCTGGTAGAGAGGACACATGCAGAACCTTTGGATTGCAAAAGTTGGATGCAAAGGGTGGCCACTATGCTTCTGGTTAGAGCAAATGTATCACTTCTTGAATAAAATTGTACTTGTCCTTGACGTCTACTTTACATATGATTTTCTCCTTTTTGTCCTTTCAGACGTTGGTCATACTCAAGGTCCGCTTGATGGAAGTCTTTATGCCCGGGTCCGAAAGAAAGACTCCCTGGAGGGAGTTGTTTCCATTAATGGCCTTCCAGTCCGTGAAAACCCCTTGACAAATACAGAGGGCTCATTGCAGCAATCTAACCATCACCTCCAAAAGACTGAGCAGTCCCTTCCAGTGGCAGGTCACACCTCCCTTCCTGCCGTAGATCATACCCTTTCTGTGAGCAGTGACTCAGGCAACTCTACTGCATCAATCAAGACTGATCGCACTGACGAGCACAGCCATTCCCTGCACACAGCTGCAGGTCACAGCAACTCAACAACAGCCCACCCAACACTTAGCCCCCAGGAGAAACGAGAACTAGACCAGCTTCTTAGTGGCCTTGAGCCACCAACTCAGCGCCAGGCTTACTTGTCCACATCTACAAGTCCAGGAGGAGGGGTTCGACACCTGGTTCCAGCGCAGGTGCATGTCAACGGGGGCCATACCAGGATTCTTAGGGCACCCTCAACAGAGGAGCGTGAAACTGATATCCTTGATGACGAGCTTCCTAATAGTCAAGAGGGCAACAGCGTTGATAGCTTGGGTACACTCTCATCTTTAGAGGGTCAGGCAACACCAGCGAGCCTCTACTACCAATCACAGACACCTGTTGGTGGCCAGAACGACGGCCCATACCTTGAGAGAAACGTTCTTGGGGAAAAGCTGAACGAAATGCCTGTGCATGGAGTCCAAACTCCTACAGCAATGCAGGAGAGGTCTGTAGATTCACCATCACTGCAGGTGGGTTATAACAACTACCAAAATGGAGGAGGAATGTACCGTTCACAGTCCTTTGGAAATCAGCCACCCAGTAGCCCTGAGACCAACCCTAAAATGATGCCCAAAGCCCCTGAGAGGAGTACCAGTAGTCGAGAGGCAGTTCAAAGAGGTCTTAACCACTGGCACCAGCATAGTCTTCCAGATGATCCCTTTGGGCCTCCTCCTCAGTCAACCCACAGCCTCCCTCATTTCCCAACTTCTGCCTCACAGCGAGACATTGAACAGTCCATAGAAGCACTAAACATGCTAATGCTTGATCTAGATCCAATCAACTCACACATGTGTAAGTCCCACAGTGCACCACCTGGAGATAACACCCTCAGTTCATCCCAGATACCATTCTCCCAGACCCTGGCTAGGCCATCCTACCAAGGGGACTCTGCCATCCATGGCTACAACAACCCAGGGTCAATGAACAGCACCTATCATCAGCGGCAACCTGGGAGGGTCCCAGCAGTGCCAAACCAGAGTCCCGTCACGGAGTCTCCAACGTACTCACCCCAAAGGTCCAACACTGGTTACCCATACCAGAACACCACCCCAACACACACTCCTGAGCCCTACCTCCATACACGCCAAGCAGCCCATCATTGTCCCATTGATACTTCTGCTAATGTCAACCAGCAGTCTCCCCAGAAATTAATAAACTCAACAAGCAGAGTTTCACACTCCCCAGACCTACAGGGGCCATCTCCTTACCCAGGACACAGCACCTCTTCTTCTCCTCTTCCTGCGCTCACCCCCCAACCCAAGGAAATGTCTTCTTCTCCCTTGCCAAGAGAGCAAGATGCAGAGGAGGAGACTCTGAACTTGGAAGGCCTGGTTGCTCACCGTATCGCTGGTAAGGTATTCAGGTTTTATGTTAGTTGTTGAAATGATCAATTCACTACAAATGGAATGATTTATTTCAAGTGTTTATTCCTGTTGATTTTCTGATTATTACAATATTTATATGATATAACTAAAGGAAAGACAGAACATTGTGATTATTCCCTAAAACCCATTAAAAAAGTTTTCTTATTACAGAATTCTTTGCGGCCCTGTGTTCATTTTGATGAACTGAAACAATTTTGATGTTCGGAGAAACTTAAATATGGGTTTTTACTAAGTCTAACCCCTAGGGAATAAAAATAATAATAATTAAAATATATAACTTTGTGTGTACTTTGTTTTAGTTTTTGATTGGCATGACTGAAATACCTTAACTTTCTTATGATATCTTAAAATATAGAGAATTTTACAGTTCAGGATTCAGTCTTACATTTAATTTCTCTTTCCTTCTTAGAGTTTACCTGAGGTATTTACAATGTATTTACACTGATGTTTTAGTGTATAAGTGCAAGCTTCTTTTTTGTAAGATGTTTTAATTTATGTTTACTTGTAAAAATGGTTGATAATCTTAAAAACAGGACATGTGAATAGTGCAGGACTCCGCATTATGTCACTAAAATGATACAACTGTTACCTGACTGCTTCCAAAGTGCTGACAGAAACGCAAAGAAGACTCACGTTGTGTGTACCAGAACGTGAGCAGCGCAGCTTTCAGCAGTTTGTATTACAGATCCACGGTGGCGTTCTGTACCGCAGTTCTGACCTAGCCACATAAAATTAGCTCTGCAGCTGAAATGAAGTAAAGCTGGTGACAGCAGAGATGGGAAGAAGAATAAGAATAGCCAAGCATGCAAGAACTTCCATTCATTATCTGCATTCAGAATGCACTGTCATTTAAATAAGCTCTCTGGTGCCTCCTAGTGGAGGAAGGGTTTCCTTGCTTATTTCCATATTTGATTCTTCTTTTTTTTTTTTTTGTTTAATCCATCTTCGTGGAAAACCTTTTGCTGTCATTGCATCTTCCTCTGCACCTTCCTCACCCTCTTCCTCCTCCACCTGCTGCTTCCCCTCCATCACCTGACTTTCCTCCCCTGGAACAGAGTACAACGCTCGTATTCGGGGCATCAGTGAAAGCATGACATCCCAACAATCTGACCGCCATCGCTCCTATTCCTTCTCTGGTTTGTCCATTTTTCCCTCACTTTTAATTTTCTCATGTCGTTGATGTATTTTTCCTGCCTCGCTTATTTATTTTTCCCAATCATGTAGTTTTACTTTCGACTCCCTTCTTTTTGCCCATTAAAATTCTAATCAAGAATTTGAGCTTGGTTCTACCAGAGTTAGGTGTGGATTGTTTGCTTGTGGCTTAACAAGTTGCAAAACAAGCTTTTCTAGAAAGCATGTCCTGAGTTCTGCAGTGAATATCTTGGTGGGTTTCAGGAGTTCGTTCCAGAGGAATGACCCCAGAGGTGACGCAGGAGACAGGCAGACGCCGGACCACAAGCGAGGGCCACTACCAGTGCGGTCATGATAACGTCTCTGCGTCTCATTCGCCGGACTTTGCCAACAATCTGGCTCTGAATCCAGGTGGAAGACCCAGAGAGGTACAGTCAGACACCTGATCTTTGGGTCAAGCCCAGCATAGTTCAGCAGAGCAGACTATATATATATATATATATATATGTATATATATATATATATATATATATATATATATACATATATATATATATATATATATATATATATATATATATATATATATATATATATATATATCTCTCTCTCTGTAACAATTTCTTACTCTTGCTG